CAGCAAGCTCTCCTTATTTTATTAGTTCATTTTCATCACTTCCTCTCTCTCACCCCCACCCACAACCAATCCATCAACAAACCAGGCCAACTGAACCTCCAAAATAATTCCGAAACCTACCACCTCTGTCTACCACCATGGCCATCACCCTAGTGCAAGCCACCACCATCAGTAGCCTAGATTAGTGCAACGGTCTCCCATTTTGTTGGATTCCAGGCTAGGCCTGCTTCAAATCCATTCTCTACCCAACAGCCACAGTGATTTTTTTTTACTATTCCAGATCACAACACCCCTCTGCTTTTAATACTCAGTGACTTCCCATTGCTCTTAAATGAAGCCCTGCCTTCCTCTTCAGCCATAATCTACACAGTCTCTGCAGCTTCCCAGGTATTCCCACCTCAGGGCCTTTGCACAGGCTTCTCCCTCTACCTCAAGTTCCCTTCCTCTACTTTTCACCAGAAAAATCTGTTCGTGCTTCAGGTTCCTGCCTCCAAGAAGTTATGTGCCATCTCCTTCTTCAAGTCATATCCTTCCAGATCTATCCTCTTATGACACCTGTTCTCTTCCTCTACTTATCACAATATATGATTATTTATTTATGGGTTCATCCATTTAAGGTCTATCTTCCCTACAGGGCTCTGAGCTTCCTGAAAGCAAGGATCAAGTCTGTTTTGGTCACTATTGTTTACACCCTAGTGCTGGGCACATAGTCGGTATTAAAAAAATATTTACTAAAAATATAAGAAGGAGAGCTTGCCATTTGCAACAGCATGGGATGCGCCTAGTAGAGGCTAAGTGTAGTAAGACAGAGAAAGACAAATACCATACAATTTCACTTATATGTGGAACCTAAAGACCAAAGCAAATAGCAGAAATGGATTCATCAGGACAGAAAACCAAGAGGACGGTTGTCAGGGAGAAGGAAGTGGAGGGACGGGCAAAATGGGCAAAAGGGAGTGGGAGGCTCAGGCTTCTAGTTATGGAATGAGTAAGACGTGGGGATGAAAGGCACAGCATAGGGAACAGTCAGTGGTACTGTAATAGCATTGTACGGTGACAGATGGCAGTTACACTGATGGTGAGCACAACATGACCTACAGCACCGTCATATCACTATGTTGTACACCTGAAACCAATGCGATATTGTGTGTCAACTGTACTTCAATTTTTAAAATGTACTATATATATACTTTTAAAGACAAAAGAAAAGGCAATTGAAACTTTCCCCAAGCTAACTGAATGTCCTACAGATGAAATCATAATCAAATAAGACCATGAGGGAACATCTTTCACATCACCAGAACAGCGACTCTAAAGCACCCTCCTTCTTCAAAGTCACTGCATCCCGTGGCTATACACAGGTTAGGGTTACTTCTCCTGGAGCTGACCAAGAACTCAGGCTCCCAGCCTAAGCTATCATTTTCCTGCACAGGAGTGGGAGGGGCCCCGGGAGAGGCAGGAGGATTTCTCCCCAGTGAGGCCCAATTTAATTTTAAGGGGAATCCCAAGAAAGGGAAAACCTACGTGGTAACATTGTGCCAATTTTCCAATTTGTTACAAAAAAAAAAAAAAAAAACCTAAATGCACTTAAGAAACTTGACAGTAGAAGCACCAACACTGACTGCTTATTTATCTCTCGGCTCATCTAAATAGTTTCTCTGCATCCGACTCTTCCAGAAAAACAACTATTGAGTCCTTATTTCTTTTTAATAACCCAGATTTCCTTTGGCAATTTAACTACAGCATCTTACTAACACAATTCTTCAAAATCTCTAACTTTATTAATAACCAGATCCTTTTATATGCAACCAAATTCCTCTTGCATCTTTAAGAGATGTAAGAAAATGACTCTCCATCACTCACTCTCTCATCATGGCTGGTATACTATTACAGCATTAAGTTTCATGATGTTAGTTACACAGTGGCCTTCGGGTCATCAGACTGAATGGATGTTTATTTTAATCAATCCTGAACAGATTCTTTCCCTATATTTTGTTGCTCTTCGTATCCTAAAAAGTTTTTTTCCCCTTATGTCTAGGATCCCAAACTACATGAGATTAGAGAGCTGAGCAGAGAATCCTACATGGTTGGTCACCTGTTTATGCCTTGCAGATTCGTGTCTGTTTTATGATTATAAGACTTTAACTGGTTGTCATTTAACCAAGACCCAACTATGACCTCAGATCTTTAAGAAGCAAGAATATGTGCAAAATTAACGCATTTCCATTTCCTCTTAATGATAAGGGTCATGTACTCTTCTCTATTTTTTTTAAGATTTTTCATTTATTTATTCATGAGAAACAGAGAGAGAGAGAGAGAGAGAGAGAGAGAGAGAGAGAGGCAGAGACACAGGCAGAGGGAGAAGCAGGCTCCATGCAGGGAGCCCAATGCGGAACTTGATTCCGGGACTCCAGAATCATGCCCTGGGCTGAAGGCAGGTGCTAAACCACTGAGCCACCCAGGGATCCCCTGTTTGGTGTTTTAAAGATGTGTCATCACACTAAATTTGAGGTCTGCAAAATTCGAGTCACGAAAAGCATAGTTCTCTTGCCTCCAAATGTATGATAGATGAGGGCTTATCAAGAGAACAAAGGGAAATTCTAGCACGGTTAGCTGTTAACGTCTTGAGTTTCTAGACTCTTCTTTGCTCAAGATTAACATGCATGCGTACACACAAATAAACCTAGAGACCAAAATTCAAGCTTTTGTTTGTTGCTGGTGTTTAATATCTAACATGGAGTCAAACCATTAATAACTAGTTCAAATGACTTTCCTAGCCTAACTAGTTTCTTTCTGGTAAACTTCTGCCTCTCAGTATATATCTCACTCTCCAAATCTCAGCTATCTTGAGCACCCAAGTGATGTACCAGGAAGCAGAGAGGCTTGGTTTAAGTAGGTTCCCTGGCACCTTGGAAAGTCCCAGGAAGCAGCAGATGGAAAGCTTGCAATTCCACGGGCTGCTAAGGGGGGCAAAGAAGACTTCCTTTGCAGTTATGGAAACACACATACCAACGAAGCATCACTTTCCTACAGGTTGATACTGTGACTAAGTAGTAATCAGCTCATACAATAGAGACAGGAGTAACAAAGTAGGTTTAGGATTACATTGGAGAGGAAGACAAATGAAGATGCTGGAACCCTTCCTGAAATAGAGATCTTAAGGAGGCGGTCATTTCTCACAAAGCAGTAAAAGAACCTTTTGAGCTGATACACAGGCCCCAGTAATCCAGGAACCAGAAACATCTTATAAATATCAATTAAGCCTGGCAACAAGCTCCATGCATAAATAGGGAAATTTGGGTGTTTAGAGACCGAGCAGCCCGAAGCCTAACAATGAGTCAGGACCAGAGAGGGCACCAGAACCAGGAATCTGGAATCCTCATCTCTGGCTGGTACAGGAGATCTATCTTTCAAGGGAATAAAATGTTCACATGAGAAACAGCAGAAACAGATGATAATATCCGTGCATCTTGGGATGGAACAAGACAAAGGATGGCCAAATGACACCCAGTTGAACTTGGAAAGGAAGCCAAGCCAACGCCCCAAATGTTATTTAATCAAATGGAAAATTAGCATTGTTTCAGTGCCTCCTTAGCAAAGACTCTGCTCACCTTATGGCTTGTAAGTTAATGCCAAGAGATACCCTATCCATCCTCACCTCAAGGCGCTCTATTTTATCTGATTTGAATTCAGAAATGCCTATTCATCTTTGGCCAGATAAGTGAATCAGGTATTGCATTTGCAAGCATGCAAGCTGAAATTGAACCCACGATGCAGACAAGGGAGTCTGGTAACTTCCAACCCTCTGGCTTTTCCCATCCGCTTCACAAGGGAAGGTTAAAACCCCATTTACATCTAAAGCACCCAATGTGAATCCATGTGCTTCGCCAACTATAGGAGATGTGGTAATATGACTGACTTGCATGTTTAAGGTCCAGCAAAGTAACCAATTAAGCTAAGGAGGCCAGCTTTTGGTACAGTACTCGAGCATAATCAAATGTTACATAATCAAACGTTCCATGGCAAACACCTGCACAAGAGAACAAATAAATGAGTAACACCTTGAAGTGAACTGGGTGAGGCCCAGCTTTCCCTGTGGGAGTGAGAAACCCTAGCACACAACTCTAGACTGAGAAGCTACATGTGAGCAGCCATCCATTCAGAGCACGACCAGAGAGAACCTGACAAACTCCAAAAAGAAACAATAGCCTACCCGGCATTGCTCAAATGCCTCCCACTTTTGCTCGGCCAAGGACTGACCCCGACTCCAACCAGCACTGGGAAGTCCTTGCCGACTTGGGGCTCAAGGCAAACATGCCTAAAAATTTTCAGACTGGAAGTTAGGACCAAACCGTTCTAGCATCCTTTGGGGGGCGGGGATGGGGCTGGGAGGAGAAAAGGGGAAGAGAAAGAAGCAAATTCTCTTCACTAGCCATCTCTGGGCGGCCGGCACTCCCGAGTCCTCAGCCTCCACCCGCAATGTCCGTGAGTGAGCCTCTAGGGCCAGAGTGTCTGCGGGGTTCACCCTCCACCGGATCTTCTTCCCTGAGCCCGGGCCCACACGTTCCCAGCTCCAGGTCCAGGACAGTGAAATACCCAGGAAATGCCCAGGAGATCTGTATCCGACAACCACACCACCCACACTTATAGTAAGAAGAGTTCGTCAGCCCACAAGTATCTTCCATTCATCAAAAATTCATTAAGTGCTTACTAAGTTCCGGGCGCTGAGCGACGTCCCGCAGATGCAAAGACACCCCAGGGGCTCCCCCACCCCCGCCCCTCACGCGGGCCTCAAAGGAGCGCACACACCGGGAGGGCTGTGCGGGACGGCCCGGGGAAGCTGAAGCTAAGTGAGAAGGCCGCTGTCGCCGGGAGAGCCCTGTCCCAAGGCCTCTCTCGGCCCGTCCCCCCGGGCACGGTGGCACGGAGGCCGCCACGCCCGCTCTAGAAGGCTCTCGGCGCCCGGCCGCACGGCCCCCCGCCCCCCGGCGCGCGCTCACTGGGTCTTCCTGCGGCCCTGGTCCCGGTGCAGCTCCCGCAGATCCACCTCGGCCCGGCCCAGGAACTTGTCGAGGCCGAGCAGCGCGCGGTGCAGCACGGTGAGCTGCAAGGTGGCGGCGGCGGCGGGCGCGGCCCCGGCGGACAGCAGCGGCGGCAGCTCGAAGGTGGCCTCCTCCCGCCACACCGGCGCGCCCAGGCTGCGCTCCGACACCGAGGTGGCGTACTTCTCCTTGCCCACCTGGATCACCGCGTACGCGTCGCTCGTGCCCCCGGGGCCCTTGGCCCGCAGGCCCCGCGCCTGCAGCACCGTCACCTGCACGTGCGTCGGGGACCACACGGCCCCCGGGCCCCGGCCCGCCGAGGCCGCCAGAGACATGGTGACGGCGCCGCTGGGGACCGGAGAGGCCGGGAAGGTGGCGGCGCCCGGCCGGCTCTGCGGCCCGCCCCGCCGCCGCGGCCCCTTTAAGGCTTCCGGCCCGCCCCGCCCCCCGCCCCGCCCCGCCCGCCCGCCCCCCCGTCCTCCCGGCCCGGGCCGCCTCGCCCCGCCTCGCCCCGCCCCGCCCCGCCGCCCGCTCACCTGCCGCATCCCACCCGCCTCGGCGGCTCAGGCCCGCGTGTCCGGGGCGGGGGCCGGGAGCGGGGGCTCGGGGGATTCCGGAGCGAGAGTGTTGGTACGGGACGAGGTCGCACGAGCCGACTCTCGGCGCCCGCCAACGGGCGGGCGTGTGACTCGGCATGCATTACTTCTCATCTTTTGGTCTCAGTTTCCTCACCCATAAAGTGAGATAACGATCACCTCGTGCAACTGCTTTAAAAATGATAACGTAGCCCGGCACATGGGGAGTTCTGGATCAGGAGGTGCCATGAAGGTGACAATGAGCGCGATCCCACAGTCGCTGCTCTTTGGTCTGGGCCAGCCGGTGGTTTGCTCCGGGGGACTGCGGGAGCTGGGACGGTGCAGATGGGTGGCGGAAGGAGGATCCTTTGAGGGCCTGAAAAGGGGAAGGTGAGAGGGAAGGGGGCCGGTGATGAGGTGCTGTGGGAGTGTCCTACTTTGCTCTGCTCTCACCAAATAAGGTGAGGCTAAAAGGCTAAATTAGGGAAGAGGAATAAAGGAGGAACTGAAGATAGGGTTGCCAAACCCGGACATCTGGAGACCAGAGGGCCACCCTTGCTCCAGTAGCCCAGAGTCTCTCCCCTGCTCTTTATCCCTGGGGGCTTCCAGTCATTCACTTCCTTCTTCCAGATGTCCCTTGGATGGGCAGTTTCCCTTCATTCCCAGGTCCTGCTGACTGCAAGACTTCACTCACATTTCCCCCCATGGTTTTGCTTCCAGGGGGACCAGGTGGTGACTTGGTTAAGGTGTCTCTTCCATAGCCCCCGGCAGAAACCTGGGTACATGCACCCCAAGTGCTCAGGAAGTGCTGTGGAAGTGAAGAGAGAGTGTGCAGTTTATTCTGGCCAGTCAGGAGCACACAGTGTTTCCTTTTACCCTGGAGGACATTACAAGATGCATTATGCCTCAGGTTTGCAACTGAGGGTGGCTACCATGCGGGAAAGACCTATTCCATACATTGTAAATATGCAATGGTGATAAAGAGGAGGCACCAGACAGGTAAGTGATGGAAAAGCCTAGCAGAACTCTGTTGCCATTTCTGCATCTTGACCATCTGTTGATGTCATTCAACCTCATGGCCCCATTCATTACCATAAAAATATATTGAGAACTTACTTGGTATCCAGTATGTGCTAGGAGCTACAGAGGGCATAAAGCCCTAAAACAAGATCCAGTTCTGAGGCACATCATGACAAATGCTATAACGGAAGTCCTATACTAACAAAATGCTTTGGGGGTTTTGAGGTTGGAGTGATTTCTCTAAGCAGGTGGATTTTTATGAAGAAAGTGACATTGAGCTGAGCCCTAAAGTAAAGCATATACCAGATTTGACAGGCAGAGAGGGGGTGGTGTGGGGGAAGAGCATTTCAAGGGAGAGAGAACAGAGCAGTCTAAGCAGATATAGGAGCCAGAGAGTTCCCAGTATGTTTAGGGGTTAGGAGCACCCCATTGGGGCCAGAATGTGGGATATCTTAGGAGGGCACTGTGGGTGGATGGTAGGGATAAGACAGCCAAGGTAGGTGGGCCTAGATCACGTAGCTCATGAACACCAGGCTAAGGGGTTTATGCCACAGCATTAGGCCAGGGTGAGCCAGCCCTCAGAGGATTTTGAGCAGTGGTGTGATGAGGCTGTGCTTCATGCTGTAAAGCAGGTGTGAGCAAAAGTAGCCCAGCAGCCAGTATTGGGGGGGGGGGTCAGAGCTAGATGCCTTCATTTTCACCTGGGGACTATCTGCCTCTGGCCCCACTCTACCACTGCTCCATCCTTGGAGTCTGTTCCAAGTTGGAACTGTATTCAATAAGGCACTTATTCCCCTCCTGGTTTTCCTACCTGTGCACTGCTCCACTACCTCCCTGCTGGACAGAGTCCAAGATTTGGGGTCAAGACTGACCCCCTGTGCGTGAAGTTTTTCAGCTCTCATCTCCTGTCCTCCCCCACACTCACATTGTTCATGCTGCCCCACAGTGAAGATAGCAAGGATTGAAAGCTAGCTGGTCAGCCTCATAGGCTGAGTATGACCCAAAGCATCCCTTCCATTCATGGAAAGGATGAGAGGACAAAGGAAGGGAACAAGGGGGAAGGAAAAACTATAATACCTTGTGACCTCATGTGTTTGGGTTTCTGTCAAACACATATAGGCTCTAAGGTTAAAGCAGAGGTTGTAGATTGGGGGAGGGAAAGGCTGTTCCACCACCCGCAGGAAATCAAGATTCTTCCAGACACTGGACACTTGCAGAGGTTAACTCAGAGGAGTGGGGGCTCATGAGAGGCAGGAATTGGAAATACATCAGGGTAGAGAGAAGCCAGGAGCTAGAGCACAGGATGTACTTGATGCTAAATGGCTTGGTGGCTGTTTTCTCCCTTCCTCCAGCCAGAGCTCTTTGTCCCTCAAGACTCATTTGCTGACCCCCTGGGAGTAAGTCTGTTGTCTTCCAATTTTATAGCCCAACAGTCCAGGCTGGGAGGTGTGCAGGTGCAATGACAAGGACCACGAGAGGGCTGGTGCTCCACTGTGCCCTGTTCCCCACCTGCCCTCAGCAGAATCCACTTGGGCATCCCTTCCACCCTCTCCCACAGGCCAGGCTGTCCTGGGGCAGCTGACCCCTCTCAGGTTCACTGCATTCCAGGAGTGTTTATAAACACCTCCCACAGCCAGGGTGCGGTGAGTTGACTTCTCATTCCTCTCACTGGCCCGCCTCTAGCCCTGACTGAAAGAGGAGAAGAGTTTCTGTTGGCCCTGAGCACGTGGGCAAGGTGCCTGGCAGGTTGGACTGGACAGATTAGCTACCTCGCCTCCTCCCAAAGCAGTAGAGTGCGCCTGGACTCCCAGACACCAGCTGTGCAGTTAGATGACCAGTGCAGATTTGCTGTTAGGAGGAACCAAGAACAGTCTCCCAGGAAAAGACATAGTATAGAGCCATGCTGGGGGTGGGGAGGAAGGGCAAGCAGAGAGATGTTTGCCACCCTACCACTGCCAATCACTCCTGCCCGCTGCTCCTCAGTACACCCCCAACTGCAAGAGATCTAACCAACACACACCCCCACCCCTGGCAGAGGGGACACGTGGGTGGCTCATTCAGTTAAGCCTCTGACTCTTGGTTTCAGCTCAGGTCATGATCTCAGAGTCATGAGATCAAGCCCTGCATGAGGCTCCACACTCAGTGTGAGTCTGCTTATCCTTCTCCCCCTGCTCGTTCGTGCTCTCTCTCTCTCTCTCTCTCTCTCTCTCTCTCTCTCTCACTCTCTCTTAAAAAAAAATCACCTCTGGGGACTCAGAATGGACTAGTGTGCTGTCCTAAGGGAGGAGAAGAAAGAGGCTGGTAATGGTTGCTTGTCTTTCTCCTTTGCCTTGGACTCTGGGGTGTGGTGACAAACGTCCACACACATGACTCATTCACTGGAGCCCTTGGTAAACAGCCTTCTGGCTTCCTCAGGTCCAGCTGCCTCAGACTCTCACCCACTTGGCTGACCAAGGAGACTACTTTCCAGATGTCGGCTCTGGGTGCTAGGGGGCTTCTGCCTCAGGGGTCACGAGCCAGGGGAGCAAGTCCCCAACACCAGGCTCTCTTTCCATTGCCCCAGTGGGTGTGGCAATGTGGAAGTTAAAACTATGGCCACACTGGGGTGTCTGGGTAGCTCAGTTGGTTAAGCATCCAATTCCTGGTTTCTGCTCAAGTCCTGATCTCATGGATTGGGGGATCGAGCCTGGTGATGGGCTCCACGATCAGTGGGGAGTCTGCTGCAGATTCTCTTCCCCTGCACCTCCTCCACCACACGTGCACATTCTCTCTCAGACTTTCAAATAAATCTAAAAACAAAAAACTAAACAAAATGAAACAACTATAGCCACACTGGGCAAAGGATGGTCTCAAAAGCAAATGGCTACGTTTCCCCCTTTGCCCCTATTACTTTAACAAAATTTGCATCATAGATAATACAAAATTTGCCAAGTTTCTTCACGGAAAGCCCTTGAGTCTTACAACTACAGTTTTACAGACTGTAGAGAGAGATTATGGGTCCCTTACCTCCCCTTTCTTTACTAAGCCTTCCCCTGTGCCTCTCCCATTTAGAATTGCTTCTGATTTCTTTTTTTTTTTTTTAAGATTTTATTTATTTATTTGAGAGAGAGCAAGCACAGAGGGAGAGGGAGAAACAGGCCCCCTGCCAAGCAGGGAGCCTGATGTGGGGTTCTGTCCCAGGACCCTGAGATCATGACCTGAGCTGAAGGCAGGCGCCTAACTAACGGAGCCACCCAGTTGCCCTGCTTTGAGTTTCCTAGCTTATTTCTTATACTCAGATTCAGCACTGGTTTTATTGGCCTGTAAGCATCCCAAAGGCAGGAAATGTGGTCCTCACTATTTCTGGCTCTCCCAATGTCTTGCCAACAGAAGGCAGGTCAGATTAAGTAGGAGAGGCATAGATGACTTTGAACCCTTCAGTCTCCCTCCAGTCACGGCCACTTTTAGCACTACCCGATATAACCATCTTTCAAAAATACAGATTTATTGTTTCTGATTATAAAAGAAATATGTGTTCATCATAGATGCAAGCCTTCACCTTTCCAGAATCGGTTTCATGACATACAAAAAGAAAGCAGAAGTTCTGAGGCATTTATTCCTTCTTGAATTGTCCCATTGGAGCTACCCCCTCAGGGTCTTGTTCTCCTTCCAGCCTCTTCCATGTAAGCCATGAGCCTCCACTGTCTCAACTGCTGGGGCCCCTGGACACAGACCTGCAGAGGCAGAGCTGGCCAAGAGGTATTTCAAGCAGCTCCACCACCCCCCTTCTCTTCCTTTTGGACGCCACAGCACATGGTA